CTATAGCCTATTTATTGCCTTACCTCCATAACTTGCTACATTTGCACACACTATATATATATTTTCTGTTGTATTTTTTGACTTTATTTTATTTTTACCCCATATGTAACTCTGTGTTGTTGTTTTTATCGCACTGCTTTGCTTTATCTTGGCCAGGTCGCAGTTGTAAATGAGAACTTGTTCTGAACTGGCTTACCTGGTTAAATAAAGGTGGAATAAAAAAAGAATAAAACAAAGTTAATAGGCCCTTTGTTTGATGGTTATGATAAGGTAGTTAATCTCAAGATATGCACATTCTTATAGATTAGGTTTAACTTTTCAGAATGTGGTAAAGAATAGAGCAAGAACAGGTCTAAACTGTACAGTTTTGGCACTCTTGAGATCAAACTACAAATCAATACATTATAGACGTACTGCGGGGCAGGTTGACAGCCAGGCTAATTGCTAAGACCAGAAATATTGCTGCCACAGCATGTTGAAGTGGGAGATCAAACGTTAGACAATTAAAATATCACGGAGACGGATTAATCTGGCAGTACCTACACTAAGAATGCTTAGACCATTTTGCCTGAGTATTTCTAGGCTCTGTCGTAGCCGGCCGCGACGGGGAGACCCATGGTGCGGCGCACAATTGGCCCAGCGTCGTCCAGGGTAGGGGAGGGAATGGCCGGCAGGGATGTAGCTCAGTTGGTAGAGCATGGCGTTTGCAACGCCAGGGTTGTGGGTTCGATTCCCACGGGGGGCCAGTATGAAAAATATATATATTAAATAATAATGTATGCACTAACTAACTGTAAGTCGCTCTGGATAAGAGCGTCTGCTAAATGACGTAAATGTATTTCCTTTTAAATGAATGTCTATAAAGGTTTAGAATACAGGTGCAAGGTCAGGTGCCCTCTATCTCTGTTATATTTAAATTGATGACCTGCAGAGGTGAAAGTGAAAATGCAGTTTATTTTATTGTTGAACAAAGTTCCATGTTCTCAACACGACAACACCTTGAAACACAGAGAAACTATGATCTAGCATAGTGGAGGTCTGTTATGATGTCTGGGTCTGTCTAGCAGGGGGCAGGGTCACATCATGCCTTCTTCTGGTTAGCCTCTGGTTCTATAACAACAGAAGGAGTACCATTTCAGACTGGGCAGGGCCATAGAGATAGAGCGAGAGAGTCCAACCACTATTTTTGCCACACACACAAAAATAGAAGAAGGATGACTTACACCGCTGGCTAGTTTTGTAGATGTAAAAGTCAGCTGTGACAGCCGCTATTACCCCCAGTCCCAACAGACCAGCCGTGGACAATGTTGCTGTTCCCACTGCAATGGCATATTGACCAACACTAAACGTTAGCAAGTTCCTGGGAGAAAGACCACTGTACCACCCAGTCTCCTGAGTGGCGCAGTGGTCTAAGGCACTGCATCGCAGTGCTAGCTGTGCCACTAGAGATCCTGGTTTGAATCCTGGCCGCAACCGGGAGACCAATGGGGCGGCGCACAATTGGCCCAGCGTCGTCCAGGGTAGGGGAGGGAATGGCCGGCAGGGAGGTAGCTCAGTTGGTAGAGCATGGTGTTTGCAACGCCAGGGTTGTGGGTTCAATTCCCACGGGGGGCCAGTATGAAAATAAAAAAGAATAATGTATGCACTAACTGTAAGTCGCTCTGGATAAGAGCGTCTGCTAAATGACGTAAATGTAAATGTAAAGAGAACAGTCACTTTAACATTGTTTCATTTACAGTTTTTTTTTTCCAATCACTTTGGTGCAATTTTCACAAGTATGTGGAAGGGGAGAGTGGGGTAAATTGAGCCAAAGAGGTAAGTTGAGCCACCCTTGTTTCTAGGAAACCATACACAAAATTAATAATTTGCCCAAATATTGAGGAAGAGGTCATCATTTCATGGAGTCTGTGAAGCAAGAAACCACATGGAAAAAGTGGTAAGCAAGTTAGGTCCAAAAGACAGATTTTCACCAAGTCAAATTCATTTATTCCATTAGAGGTTTCATGATGCTTGTATCTAAACCAAAGTATATCATTTTAAGATTGTTCTGTACATCAGTTGGGGTCTCTATAAGCTTCAATATGAGGTCCTAAACCTAGCATGAAAGTGCATCCTTGTAGCTGTGTGAGCTAATATAGTCCAAATGTTTGCCTTTGAGGTAAGTTGAGCCAATGGTTGATTCAAAGGTAAGTTGAGCAAATTGAAGTGTTTTCTTCCCAGGTGTAATGCAAGACATTAGCGCTGGGATATGAGGTAACAACAGGGCCTGGCCTATGTTAAAAGTGTTTAATAAAGTACAAAATGTTTGTTAGGTGTGAAGCCTGTGTTAAAATATGCTTAAAATGATTAAAAGACAAAAAGCGATTGTGATTGTGTTGAATTGTGTTTGGGAAATAAAGATAGACATGGTTTTAAAAAGGTAGTGGTAATATTTCATTCAGTACAGACATTTGTAGGCGGCTTAACTTACCCTGTCCCGTGGCTCAACTCACCCCATACCTGGGTAAGTTGTGCCAAAAGACCACTTTATTTTGGACAAGCTATGTTTTTCTGTTTTTCAAAACCGTAATGTTTGCATTAATTCTGATTATTTCCAGGGATACACAAAATCCTGAAATATACAGTTGAAGTCGGAGGTTTACATACACCTTAGCCAAATACATTTCAACTCAGTTTTTGGGATGGTGTTCTTCGGCTTGCAAGCGTCCCCCTTTTTCCTCCAAACATAACGATGGTCATTATGGCCAAACAGTTCTATTTTTGTTTCACCAGACCAGAGGACATTTCTCCAAAAAGTACGATCTTTGTCCCCATGTGCAGTTGCAAACCGTAGTCTGGCTTTTTTATGGCGGTTTTGGAGCAGAGGCTTCTTCCTTCCTGAGCGGCCTTTCAGGTTATGCCGATATAGGACTTGTTTTACTGTGGATATAGTTACTTTTGTACCTGTTTCCTCCAGCATCTTCACAAGGTCCTTTGCTGTTGTTCTGGGATTGATTTGCACTTTTCGCACCAAAGTACGTTCATCTCTAGGAGATAGAACGCATCTCCTTCCTGAGCGGTATGACAGCTGCGTGGTCCCATGGTGTTTATACTTGCGTACTATTGTTTGTACAGATGAACGTGGTACCTTCAGGTGTTTGGAAATTCATCCCAAGGATGACCAGACTTGTGGAGGTCTACAATTATTTTTCTGAGGTCTTGGCTGATTTCTTTTGATTTTCCCATGATGTTAAGCAAAGAGGCACTGAGTTTGAAGGTAGCCAACGAAATACATCCACAGGTACACCTCTAATTGACTCAAATGATGTCAATTAGTCTATCAGAAGCTTCTAAAGCCATGACATCATTTTCTTGAATTTTCCAAGCTGTTGAAAGGCACAGTCAACTTAGTGTATGTAAACTTCTGACCCATTGAATTGTGATACAGTGAATTATAAGTGAAATAATCAGTCTGTAAACAATTGTTGTCAAAATTACTTGTGTCATGCACAAAGTAGATGTCCTAACCGACTTGCCAAAACTATAGTTTGTTAACAAGAAATGTGTGGAGTGGTTGAAAAACAAGTTTTAATGGCTCCAACCTAGGTGTATGTAAACTTCCGACTTCAACTGCATGTAGATATCTTTGTTAGAAAGAATACTACACTGAACAAAAATATAAACGCAACATGTAAAGTGTTGGTCCCATGTTTCATGAGCTGAAATAAAAGATCCAAGAAATGTTCCATACGCACAAAAAGCTTATTTCTCTCAAATTTGGTGCACACAAATTTGTTTACATCCATGTTAGTGAGCATCCACCTGACAGGTGTGGCATATCAAGAAGCTGATTAAACCACATGATCATTACACAGGTGCACCTTGTGCTGGGGACAATAAAAGGCCACTCTAAAATGTGAAGTTTTGTCACACAACATAATGCCACAGATGTCTCAAGTTTTGAAGGAGTGTGCAATTGTCACAATGACTGCAGGAATGTCTACCTGAGCTGTTGCCAGATAAGTCAATGTTAATTTCTCTACCATAAGCCACCTCCAATGTCATTTTAGAGAATTTGGCAGTATGTCTAACCAGCCTCAAAACCGCAGACCACGCGTAACCACGCCAGCCCAGGACCTCCACATCCGTCTTCTTCCCCTGCGGGATCGTCTGAGGGGAGTGGGGGAGGGGTGCTGAGAAGTATTTCTGTCTGTAATAAAACCCTTTTGTGGGGAAAAACTAATTCCCATTGGGTGGACCGGGCTCCCAAGTGGGTGGGCCTATGACCTCCCAGGCCCACCCATTGTTGCGCCCCTGCCCAGTCATGTGAAATCCATAGATTAGGGCCTAAAGGAATTATTTCAATTGACTGATTTCCTTATATGAACTGTAACTCAGTAAAATCTTTGAAATTGTTGCATGTTGCGTTTTATAATTTTGTTCAGTATAATTATCCAGCTGAAAATGAAAACTCTATCACAGGGTTAGGTTTTCAGAAGACTGAGGCGGGTTTTCCTCTTACTTTTTA